CCTAATATTAGTAAGCCATTACTGTCTCAATTGCCATCTGAAGATTTAAAGACCTTTGATGTGAGGATGTAGGGATTTGCTTTCCACTGACTTCCCATTCTAGCTGTAAGTGAAACTGTGCCTTTGAATGAAATTGTTCATTTCAAAAATTTTCAAGGATGTGGGTAAGCTTTATCACTGAATATGATTGTGGCATTATCAGGAGTTATCAACTTTTCTCCTTCCATCTCGTATCTACAAGGCTGTTTGTATATTGCCCTTGATGAATGGATGCATTCTCTTTTATGTTTAAATCATTGTCAGAATTTGCACTGAACTTAAAGAGAAGAATATAACAATGAATTCAATTTAATTTGGTTTTGCACCTTCAGAGGCACTGTCAAATACAGAGAAATTATTATAGTGGCTGATTTCAGTGAAAATGGTTGCATGATACTGTATGCTTCAGATGAAGAACACAGATTAAACTAGATAATACTGGTATTATTGTATTCAGCCGATGTTCAGTCAAGCTTGTGTATGAGTATGATGATAGTACAAGTCCCCAGCCCCTTGGCCATAAAAAGAAAAGGGTGATCTTGGGTATGATCCATTTTCTAAGGTAATACTCATATAATTGCAGATCCACAGGACCACTTGCAGTAGCACTGCATTAAATCCATCAGTAGCTGCAGTACCATTTGCATGAGCTCTGTGTTACATTCTGTAGGAATAAAGCCATGCAAGATCACTCTCCCCTGTTGAACTATTAGAGATACAGTTCCTCTTGAACAGTAACCCTTTTGTCATGGTATAAATCGTATGCTGTATTGCCCTGGGTTTTTCACTGTGGTCATATATGAATGTCTCCTCCACGCAGCATCTCCCAGAAACTAAGACTTGAGGAGGAGCACTATGATTGTGGCAGAGCATATACATTTCAGTCTCTGTGAAATGCATTAAAAAAGGAAGTATTGGATAGCAGCTGACATGAACCTATCTTTGGCAAAGTCCTTGTTAGAGCAGAAACTACAGGCTAGATGGACAAATAGTCTGACCCAGCAAAAGGCAGCCCCTAACGTCCTCATGAACTAACTTCAGAGTGAAAACGTAATGTGCATGAGCACTATTAGTCTTCTCTGAGTACTGCCATGCAAACATTTGCTTGAAGTTTTCATTCTCAAGGGATGATTATACAAACTAACTTGGCTTTCTTGATGATTGCATCTGGAATGATGGGGTTTTCTTGTCTATCCAAATTTCCAACCAATTCACATAGTTACACTAAGTGTCACCATTCTAATTATTATCATCATCATGATTTTGTCATTCCAAATAAACCTACACTGCATTGCCTTGTTGGTGTAAAATGTCCTCTCTGAACCCCGTTTGTGTTTGTGTTTCTGTTTGTGTTTTCTTTATAAAAGTGGTGGCTTCAAATGACCATGGCTGATGTAAAGCTAATGTGGTCAGCACAATACAGTCATTGAACCTATTCTCTTGCACTCTTCCCTGGTAGCTCAGGAGCTGTTTAAATCTTGGGCTGTCAAAAAGTGAAAACTGATGCTTAGGCATCCTGATGAAAAACAGTGAACAGTTTTAGCCACAGAGCAAACTGGAGAGAAACCACTGCTTCAGGAGGGCCTTCCTTAGTTAACTGGCACCCATTCTTAGGTCTAGACTTGTACAGCAGCAGTGATTACTGCTCATGGTGATGGAGAACAGCCTGAGAAGCCCAGAATTAGCAGCATATCCAGTCCAAAGCAAAAGGGAGTGGCCATGACAGACCTTTGAGTTCTGTCTAGTTTAGATCTCCCTGTTTGCAAAAAAGCTAACAATACTTTTATTAATTGCATAGTTTCCCCCCAATTCAAAATCATTACCCTCATACAGAGCTAGCATATATGTGATCGGATTCATAGGTTAATTCAGCACTGGTTAGCTGAGAGTGAGTGTGAGGGTGCACACCATCTCATAACCACTTACTACATCTGCTTTGCATCCTTCTTACAGAGCAACTCCATGGTTTCTTATTGGTTTAAAGCCTCCCTCAACAATGCAGACTTCTGCATTTGGGTATCACAAGAAATAACCCAGGATGGGGCTTTTTCACATCACCTGGAGGCAGGAAGCCAAGCAAAAGTGGCAAGAATGCAGAGGACAGCATGCTTGCTTGTTCCAGTGCAGGCTTCATTAGTCAAGATGTGCGAACAGAGTCCTTGTGTGGGCTGGGGTGGTTGGGAGTGGCACTCTGACTGGGCATAGGATACAGCACCACAGTGAAGTAAGCCAGTATCTTTATGCCCGCATTGCTAGGATGGAGAGAAGGCAGTGTATGCCTCCCTCCACCTCCATATAATGGAATGAATATAATGTTTCTATTCAGATTGATGGTTTTTGACTGTTTTTAGAGCAATGCAGTTGCGGGTACCTGGAGTAAACAGTTGTACGGGAAGCTGAAGGATTAAAGACAAGAAGCAGCTTATGACAGTATGCTTCTAATGGAGACATCAGCAGAGAAATTGGAGAAATGCTTCTTCTTCTAAAGGAATGCCAAATTTTATTAAATAGTCTCTGATAATGTGGTTCTTATCATGTGCTAAAGCTTTTTGATTGATTCCTTAGCCCACAAATAATTAAGTAATCCTTCATCCAAAGATGCTGTTTCCAATTTTTTAAAATCTTTCATCAGGATTTTAAATTTTTAATCAGTCTGTAATCCAAACTAGGCTGGCTATATAGTAATATATTTTGATATTAGATACTGCTAAACTCCCTTTTTATTCTTCACCTTGTAAAACATTAAATCAAATCCTTGCTTTTTTCCCATTCCAAATAAAAGTGTTTAATTGTTTTTGCCATTCCAGTATGGGTTTTCCTTGTATGAAAATGGGTACATCTGAAATAGTAAATTCAATTTAGGTAGGACATGCTTTTTTATAATAGAAATTCTTCTTCGCAGTCATGTTTTTTTTAGTGTAGAGCATCTCTGTAGTTCTTATTGAATCTTGTTGTATAATTATCTGAATTAACAGTGATTGTCATTGCTAACTAGGCATAGCTTACATCTATAGAACTGTGGACGCATATGCTCACTTTCTGGCATTCCACTGAAGCTGCTGAACTTGGGGAAAAGGCTGTAGGCCCTTCTTTCACTTCTCCCTCTATTCAGTTTTCTGTAGTTACTAAGAGAAGGCAAAACATGTGCAATATAGTTTTCTCACTAAAGATTAAGCAAGTAAATATCTGGCAAACTGCATTCATAAATTAGAAAGATCCTTTAAAATTGTGGCTAATGAACAATGTAAGTAGAATAGTTCTTGTTTTCTTCCTCACATAGGTAGAAAGGAAGAAACAAAGACAAGATGAGCAATCTTACTTCCATGTTCACATTTCTGCTGCTGGAATTCTCAGATGTTCGAGAGCTACAGATCTTGCACTTCTTGGTGTTTCTTGTGTTATATCTGATGGCAATCACAGGGAACCTTTTCATCATCATTGCAGTTGCCCTTGACCACCACCTACATACTCCTATGTACTTCTTCCTGATGAACTTGGCTGTGCTAGACATTGGCTCACTTTCTGTCATGGTACCCAAATCCATGGCTATGTCCCTCATGAATGACAGCTCGATTTCCTATTCTGGATGTGTTGCTCAAGTTTTCTTCTATGTATTCTTTGCGACCTCAGATTTTGTCCTCCTAACAATAATGGCACAAGATCGTAATGTTGCTATCTGCAACCCACTCAAATATGAGAGAATCATGCACAAAGGAGCTTGCATTAAGATGGTAGCCACTGGGGAGATGGTCAGTCTTCTTTATGCCATCTTACACACTTGTGGCACCTTTGTAATCACTTTCTGTTCTAATATTGTCCATCAGTTCTTCTGTGAAGTCCCACAGTTACTAAAGCTCTCCTGCTCTGACATTTACTTAGTTGAAGTTGGGTTCCTTGTCCTAGGCTTCGTTCTGGCACTAGGATGCTTTATGTTCATCATTGTAACATACATGCGGATCTTTTCTGCAGTGTTCAGGATCTCCTCTGAACATGGTAAAAACAGAGCCTTCTCCACTTGTCTTCCCCACCTTATTGTTGCCTCTGTTTTTATATCCAGTGGACTTTTCACCTATGCAAAGTCTCCCACTGAAAAGTCTTCAGATCATGATATAGCTTTTGCTGTGATATATGCACTAATTCCTCCCTTGTTGAATCCATTCATCTACAGCATAAGAAACAAAGAGATCAAGGCTGCTTTACTGAAAATATTAACATTTAGAGGTGGGCTTTAAAATAGTTGTATAGGAATGCAAGTATACATTCTTTTCCCTATTAATATTTGCCCTTGCAATTTTAAAATTTGTGCATAACACTTTTCTACTCAGCATTGTAAGTGTGCAGAAATGTATACATTTATTATGCTATTAAATGACCCAGTAATGCAAGTTGTGAACAATACATAAAAATTTACAAGAATGAAATAATGAATAAGCCATTAAATAATGCCATAACATGTTTAACCTTTCCAATCTACTTGTGTGTAGAACAACTGATTTGTGTAGAACAATAATTTTCTCTCAGATCAGGGGACATTTTCCAACAGTTTCTTGGAATTAGTATTCATGATTAGCAGTTGCTATAGAACTAATTATAATTATGTTTGATCATATAGTATATTATAAATATTATTAGATAATCCCCATTAAAATACATTGGGAACAGTTTGTTTCTCTCACAATGTTGCATATCAAGCTTCCTTCTGGGGTCTTGTGTTTGTGTGTGGAGGGGTGTTCACCAGAGAAACAATACTGCAGAAAATCACTCAAAATTGCTCTCTGTTGGAAGGGCAGGGCAGGGCATAAGAAATTTTGTCTCCACTTTAAGACTTATTCATCAAAAACCTACTCCTCCCCAGTGTCACCAAGTTTTATTTTTTGAAAGGTGAATGTGAAGATACAACATTGCTAATTCAAACCTGTATAATACTGCTCCATCACTGTAAATCTGCCTTTTACAGTTTTGAAGATGCCATCTGCTTGGGGAAGGGCCTTTTTGGTAGTGGCACCTCATTTATGGAATTCATATGCAACTCTACAAACCCTCTTGGGCTTCCTGTTCCTCCTATTTGAGGTTACCACCTGTTCATCAACTCTTTCCAAGCATGGTAAGAGCCAGGAGCAGCAGCTTCCACTTGCCTGGATCTCCCTTTAGCATTCTGTCCATGTAAGCAATCACCAAAAGGGACAATGTGCAATGAAAAAAGAGGTCAGCAGAGGACAACTGAGCATCAAAGCTGCACATTCTAGTTAATATGAGTAGATGGAAATGAAGAAATAAATATTAGGTTGTTAACATGAGAAGGCAAGAGAATGGCCTATTTTTTTTTTTTTAAAATCAATTTACATTAATTTGTGCCTTACTCCCGAGATAGCAGAAATCAGAATGTCATCCTATTGAAATTATTGTTTTATTCCTTCAGTAAATGCATTCTTATGAGGCTGCTGCACAATATGTTTTCTGCAGTTTTGCATCTTTCCTTCTCCAAGATTTTTTTTAAAAAATGCCCTTGCATCTTTCCACATAGAATGTGCTGCATTCAGCAGCTTTGCTTTGTGAGAGGATTCAATTTCCTAAAGGCAGAATTCAAGCTTAGATTTATCAAGGTATATTAAAATTAAAAATAACACACCTCACACCATACATGGAAGAGCATAAGACTTCCTTCAATGAGTCTTTAGGGTTTCTAGGAAATTGGAGAGGCACTGGGGACTGTTTGGTGCCTCTCTTAATTCTTTTTCTTAACATTTATATGTACTCTTGAGAGGAAATCCCCAAGTAAAGGGACAAGCTTCAAGTAGTTCTTCTTGTACTATTTCATTTGTAGTTAAGATAGAAATTAGCTGCACACAGAAGCAAGTCTCAAAGAAAAAGAATTCATGGATGGATGCACAGAAGCTACAATTATGATCTGAAGCCATCAAAACAGCTGTTTTATCTAACATAGGAGGATACTTATGGGAAAGGTAAGATTTTGAAAACTTATTGATTCCTGGAGGAGATTCACAATTTACCTTCCCTGTCTATGCACTCCATTCCATGTTCAGATATCGTTCTCAGTGGATTGTCCCTTGTCAGCTGCTCAACTGAGGACTTCCATCTCTAAGATAGGACACATGGTCTCACCACTTCACAAGGGGACCACACAATTTCACTGGGTTTTTGGGTATTACAACGCAGTGTTTTGGAACAGCAAATTTACAGTAAAGGGTTACCTTGTTACAACTAACTTAGGTGATGTTGATTTCTACATATATACTCTAACTATGCCTTAATTTAGCAAGAGACTGGCTGGGTTCACAGGTCATGATGAGGAACACTGTGTGGTCTCCATGCTTTGCCCCCCCCACCCCCTTTTTTGTGCCTGACAATTGATCAAGTGGTTTCTATGCTAGGGTGGTTTTCAAGCTCCTGCTCAATCCTCCCACTGATGGAGCATGTCCCATCAACCACCATGCCTGGAATTCAATCCCACTCTGCTTCAGTCCTACCTACATCACCTTCCTCTCCCTCTTTGGTCACTGGCTACATAAGTGGATCCACACACAGGAATCCCTTTTGTGCTGCAATCCTTCTCTGCCTCAACACATTTTCACCCACATTGTCACCTCTCCCCCCAGCTTTTCCTCTGGGGTTTTTGAAGGGCTCATTTTGTACAAGAACCCCAAATGCATCAAGACTCTGCTTCCCCCATGCACTCATTCATACAGAGCACCTGTGCAGGGAAGTTGTGCCCTCCCCCTCCATGCCTGCAGTTAGCACTGCCTTCTTCCTCTCACCATCACCTTTCAAAGCATCTCCCCCTCAACTTCACCAAGTGGTTTCTGTGCTAATGTGATTTCCACTCTCCTTTTAGTCTTCCTACTGCCAGCACATATTCCATGAGCCACCATGCCTGAAATTCAAACCCCCACAATGCTTCCAGTCACCACTCTCTTCTTCCCTGCAGCAGCACCTGCAAAGCATCTCTCCCTGCCCTGCTTCACCATCACTTCAACTCTGTCCCCATTGCTGAGCCCTCTCTCCTGCTTTCTTTACCTACCACCATCCTGCACCTCTCTGCCCCTCCCTCATATTACTTCCCTGCTCTGAAATGTTTCGAGAGGTCCCCATACCACACATCCTGCCCTGTGAACTCAGCAGCTCAATTGGAAGCTCACCTATCCCATCCTTCTCTCTTTGTTCCATTTCTGGTGCCACCAAGGCCATGGCTGCCTATCCTCCCTCCCTTATGCCTGCTTCTCTCCTGGATATGGGAATCTTCCCCATCCTCCATGGTAGGACCTGCTTTCAACTTCTTCTCTAGTCCCTGCAGTTCACCACCTTCTCCTTCACCTACCAGTCCACATTTCTGCTTCTGATTCTGCAGTAGGAATGCTGGTGTGGAGGAAACTAAAGTGGCTGGCTGCTGCAGGAAAAAAGAGGTCTTATGGTAGGTTTATTACATTCGCAAAACATGTAAAGTAAACTTTAAGAAAGAAAAGGGAGGGAGGGGGAAGGAGGGAGGAATTGTCTAGCAAAGGAACCATCAAATTAGGGGAAAATCTGTATGCCTGGCTAAACAGAGGAAGGCAGTCATGCTCATTTGCAAAAGACCTCTAAGAAGTGAATGTTGGAAGTGCAACAACAAAGCAAGACTGCTTTCTTCTTATTATTGTTATTTTTAGTGTTACTACTACTGCTACAATATATTTATATCCCACCTTTTTTCTCTTCCAAAGAGCCCCTGGCCTCTTACATAGTCCTCCCCCACGCCATTTTTATCCTCACAACAACAAGAACAACAGAAAGAAAGAAGGAAAAAGAAAACCTGGGATGTATGTTAGGTGAATAGGCCATTATCAGGCCAATATTACCCTGTGAGTTTCATGGCCAAGTGAGGACTAGAATCCTGCTTCCAGGTCCCAATTCCAATCATAATCGCCATTCTACAATGGCTCTGTTAACCACAGTTCCACCTCCTCTTTCACGTGCTTACATGGTGAATGACATTGAGCCTCTGAAGAGGAGAAAACTAAACATAAAATGTGTACCCACAGTGGAGTTATCAAGTAAAGAGGTGGTAAATACAATTGGTCATCTTTATTGGTCATAATATGGTTATGTTAGTGCGTATTAAAATCATTAATCAATGTTGTGGATTAACATTTCTTGCCTTATTCAAATAGGAAGAATGGAAGCAACAAGGACAACAAAGACCAATCTTACTTCCATGTTTGCGTTTCTGCTGCTGGAATTTTCAGACATCCGAGAACTACAGATCTTGCACTTCTTCGCATTCCTTGCATTGTACCTGATAGCACTAATGGGGAATCTTCTCATCATCATTGCAGTTGCCCTTGATCACCATCTACACACCCCTATGTACTTCTTCCTGATGAACTTGGCTGTGCTAGACATTGGTTCACTTTCTGTCATGGTACCCAAAGCCATGGCTATGTCCCTCATGAATGACAGGTCAATTTCTTATTGTGGATGCATTGCTCAGGTTTTCTTTTATATATTCTTTGCAATGTCAAATTTTGCTCTTTTAACCATAATGGCACATGACCGCAATGTTGCTATCTTCAACCCACTCGAATATGAGAGAATTATGCACAAAGGAGCCTGCCTTCAGATGGTAGCCATTGGAGAGATGATCAGTTTTCTTTATGCCATCTTACATGCTTATAGCACTTTTGCAATATCCTTCTGTTCGCATTCTGTCCATCAGTTCTTCTGTGAAATTCCACAGTTACTAAAACTCTCTTGCTCTGATAGTTACTTAGGTGAAGTTGGGCTTCTTGTCCTAGGCTTTAGTTTAGCACTAGGATGCTTCATCTTCATCATCGTAACATACATGCAGATCTTTGCTACAGTGCTCAGAATCCCCTCTGTTCAGAGTCAGAAAAAGGCCCTCTCTACTTGTGTACCTCACCTCATTGTTGTCTCTGTTTTTATAGTTAGTGGGCTATTTGCTTATGTGAGGCCTTCACTTGATGCTTCTTCTGGTCTGGATATAGGATTTGCTGTGATATATACCATAGTTCCTCCCATGTTGAATCCATTCATCTACAGCATGAGAAACAAAGACATCAAGGCTGCTTTATGGAAAATATTAACCTATGGAGCTTTACTCAAAAACCATGTTTAGAGGTTTTCTATAGAATACAATGTAATACATAATCTTTAGAAAGTGCACATTTGTGTATGCACTCTTTAAACTTGTGCATAAATGCCTCAGTTCAGCATTATAACTGTGCATTTTTTATACATTTGTTATACTGGTAGAAGAAATTCTTGATCAGTTTCTTGGAAGTAGCACTGACTGCTAAATGTTCCTGTAGCATAACTTTTATCCTGTTTTCCTGGTTTTATTATTGTTGCTGTTTTGGACAGTTAGATATGGCACTGGCAGCCTGGGTAGCATTTATTTACTTAAAAGTTTTCCATACCATCTATATTTTCCTAGAAAATCTCTAGACGATTTACAATAATAAAAATATACAAGCAATTTACAGTAGCTGATTAAATAGGATCACATCAGATATATATTAAAATCAACAGTGAAAATACTGGTTAAATGAAAATACTTTGTTTAGCACTGGAAAGAATAAAGAATTGTCACCACCAAACTGCTTTGGAGAGCATATTCCACAAATTGAATGCCCTCATGGTACCACATATTCAGCATGTAAATGTATAAATATATATGTGTATGGCTATGTGGAGGGGAGAGTATTCATCAGGAAAATAATGATGCAGAAGACTGGCAAATAGTTTTTTCTTAGCAGGGTGGGATGGGGAAGCAATTTCTAATTGTTACATTGTGGTATTATAAGACTGTGTTGCTATACACATAGGCCTGGAAGTGAGCTACACTGAACTCCACTGGCATGCACTTCTGTATAAATATGCATAGTGTTGTGCTATTAATATATTTCATTTGAGTTGTGAGCATGTAAAGGATATAAGTGTATGGCTGGCTCCAATGAGAACCATGGATGTCTCATAAATCAAAATAAGCAGGTTTTGTGCTTGTTTTTAGTCAAAACTGTAATTGTTGTTGGTTTTAATCTCTTGTAAACTGTTCAGAGCCTTTGGGAATGGATTGGTACAGGAAAATCAAAATAAGTAAAATAAATCAGATGTATTTGTGTGTGTGCAGTTAGAGTTATAGGAGTCAGAGTTAGTCTTCAGGATTTAATTCTATCCCCAGAGATTTTGTAAGACAAATTTATCAGTGCCCTAGGGACTAGGCGTATCTTTTCTCTAGTGAATATGTGTATGAGTATATGAACATGCTAAAGAAACATTCAATGCACACATGGTCAATTCACACATTAAGGAGTCCAATTTATTAATAGAATGTGAATCAATTCTATTTTTTTCCAGTGTATCTTGCTCTTTTAAGTTAATTGTATTGTATTTATATATTGCCTTTCCTCAGTGTCTTCCCTTTCTATTTTCATAACAAGCTTGTGGCTGAAAGGTAATGGCTAGGCTTGTGCTTGTTCAGCTCACGGAAAAAACATCCTTTGACCAGGCCACTTCCCTCCTGTCCTGGTTTGCTTTCATTTCTGAGACAGAATCTTGTTTTGCACAGGATGCTAAGCTATGGTAGTTTGTCATCATGGGTGCTTGCTGGCGCTTTAGTATGATACCCAAATCCAGAGTAGGTTTTCCCCAGGATTTGGAAGTCTTTGGCTGTCCAGTATGAAAAAGAACATCTGGCCACACATTTTTAGCTTCAATGTGTTAACTTTTGCCACCTAGAGAGCCTTTTAGAGTATTTGGTGGCATCTAATTAAAATAAATAAATAAATGTTTTGGACATTGGAACAGCAGACCCAGGAGGAAACAAGACAGTGGTGTCAGTGGTAATGAGGTGGGACCCCCCAGGGAAGGAGGCACATTCCCAAGTCCCACTGCCCAAAACATCCAGATCTCATGTTGGACTTAAGGAGAAATCTGACAGAATGCAGTGATTCAGCTCTCTTAGGCATGATGATTTTCATGTGTTGCCCAATGCTGCCTGCATGTGCTAATTATCTCTTTATGGCTGCTAGGAAAAATAATATTGGGAAATGCGTGGAGCCTTCCTTCCTCTGCCTCTGCCTCTGCCTCTGCCTCTGCCTCTGCCTCTGCCTCTTCCTCCCCTCCCCTCCCCTCCCCCCTCCTCTTTTTCTTCTTCCAATTTGTAATGGACTCTTTGGAGGCAATCCCAAAATAGAGACACTCTCCAATTATTTCATGCATAAAATATTTCATTTCCATTTAAAAAAGTAATTAGTTGCACAGATAAAAGCAAGTGTCAAAAGAAGTAGGATTTGTAGATGGATGCACAGATGCTTCAATAATGATCTGAGTTCACAGAATCAGTTATTTTATCTAACCTGGGAGGACCATTATGGGAAAGGTAAGAATGTGAAAACTTGAAGAGTTTGTGAAATACCTGGAAGAGAATGTGAAATGCCTGGAAGAATTTTGCAGCCTGCTTTTGCGTCTACGCATTCCACTATAACTCCAGACCACCCTCCTCCACAGGATGGATCTTTCCCCCCATAAATGATTGAACAAAGGGCACTGGAGACTGGATCAAATTCTTTCCTATTATTTCTTTATCCCCCACCCCCATCCAGTTCACAGGAGTGAACTGCTAGAAAATTTGCTCCATTTCCACCTTGCTTTTGTGGTCTGCCTTGGAATTTGCACCTCTTTAGCTGCTCAGTCCCTGTTCTGCCTTGAAATCTGCCTATGGTTAATGCTCCTCCTCACCGCTCTGCAACCCTCATGCACATCTATCAGCTAGCAATGGAGACCATTGATGGAAGGAAGCAACGAGCACAAAGCAGAATGGCTGGTTGGCTACAGGAGAGAAGGAGCTTCAGGATCAGGTGAAATAGGCATTTCTTTCTTTTTTAGAACAGCATCTTCTTCATCATCATCATCATCATCATCATCATCATCATCATCATCATGTTCTTTAATCAAGACAAATAGTGAAATGGAGGACGATATTGAAGACCTTGACAAAAGGAGGATATCAGTATGCTTGGGTAAATTAAGACCCAAAGACTAGAAACAGACTGGGGTTAAGACACAAAGCTTGAAAGTAGACATGGGCACTCTCCAGGAAAGGTAAAGAAATCTGGATTTTAACTAATTCCTTTCTAGGCTTCTCTTGGTGTTCCTGCATTGGGGAACTTGTCATGAACCATACACCCATCCCTGCAAGAACTGAAGGTGGACTAATTGCTAAGCATGACACACAGCTTTATTTTTCCTTTCCTTTTCCTTTCCAGCAGCTAAGGTTCTGCATGTGTGAAGCCTGTGCCTGAATGCAACAATGGACGCAATGAGGGCTAAAAAACTGAAGGTCAATCTAGGGAATCTGAGATGTCTTTAGTGGGTAATTCTTCCGAAGGGGTGGAGAGTTTCCAACCTATTTGGATGAGGTTGTGGCTCATGCTTCTCTTGATGAAGCCAGTTCAATTTGGGGAACCTTGAGCCATCTGTGTCATTTGAGGCTTAGGTGGCTTCAGTGACATGCAGTGCCTTCTACCAACTTCAGCTGGTGGCCCAACTATGACCCTATCTGGACAGAGATAGCCTAGATTCAGAAATCTATGCTCTGGTAATTCTAAGCTATAATTGAGTTTGCTTGAAAGACTTTTCTCAGTGGTGCCCCTCTCCCAATTATGGATAAAGCTCCCAACTAAGGAACATCTGGCACAAACTCTACTAAATTTTTGGCACTGGTCTAAGTCCACCCTCTGAGTCAACACATTTACCACTCCAAATAACATACCTGTGTGTGAGGGGTGGGGGTGAGTATCAGATGCAGTAACAGGTCTAGTTATATTAACCTGCAATTAATATTCAATTCAGTATATTTATTTATTGGTAATGATGCAGTTCAGTACTTTAATGCTTGTATTTTTAGGAGTTCCTATAAAACCATCCAGAGAGCTTTAGGTATTAGCAATAGATGATGATGATGATGATGATGATGATGATGATGATGATGGTGATGGTGATGGTGATGGTGATGATGGTGATAGAAAGATTGCCAATCCTCAACACTTTATCAATGCCCCTAAAAAAGATTATATGTATTTTAATCATAACCTCTGAAATAACTTGTTCTTTTCCTTTTTTAAAAAATTAAATGGACAGAGTCATAGTGATAGGTGTTCAGAATCTTGCATCCGTTAGGAAATCTACTGCAGTTGCTGTTGTGGTTAATGTGTAAATTGTCGAACATGAGCAGAATACAAATATATTTGCTTCCAGGAATGTGTAAAAAATAAATGATATAAACAGAGGGAAATGTGTGGGCATTTACACATGCACATACATACATACTCCTCCTTGACAGTGTGTGACACACTTGTGCTTGTGTGCATGTGTACATGGCAGGCTTAACCATTGGACTTGGGGACTTGGGGACCATTGGAATTCACATCCAATCACCATCGGGAGCTGTATTATTTCATTGGAGAAGGAAACATGAAATCTTCATAACTCCAATGGTGCCCCTTTCCATCCATTATTCTAGGATGACTCCAATATTGAACAAAATTGTTTGTCTAAAACTGATATAAAAATCATTTTAGTAAATTAGATTGGTCCATTCAAGGGAACTTCTATGCATCAACCAGTCAACATTAGTACATTAAGAGATTTTACATTCTTCCAAAAACAGGTTGTGTGGAATGAACAAAGCAAGATAAGCCACAATACTTCCATGTTCATGTTTCTGTTGCAGGATTTCTCAGACATCCAAGAACTACACATCTTATACTTCTCTGCATGCCTCGCGTTGTATCTTTTTGCCCTAACAGGAAATCTTCTCATCATCACTGCAGTTGCCCTTAATCATCAGTAGCACACCCCTGTGTTTCTCTTCCTAATGAATTTGGCCATGCTGGACATTGGGATTGTTTCAGTCATACTGGCCAAGGTGAAATTTGATGACTTCGTAAAATTACCCTTCTCAATAAAATCTCATATCTCATTCTCTATTCTATCCCCATACTCTCCCCTGGTGGTGTTGCATTTCCTTTCACCAGCAACAGCCATATCCTGGCATTTTATAGGCCATTTGCCAACAGAACATCAATATAATTATTTTATTTTAATTCTTCCATGAAAAAACTAGCTTTTCATTAAAAAATGGGATTATTTCTTGTGTTTTGAGAAATATATGGCATAAACCATCCCGAGATGCTTGTAGTGGATGGCATATAAAAGCTATAAACAAACAAACAAAATTTGCTAACTATCTGTTTGGCTTTGTGAGAGAGAATAAGAGGGGTGGGAGGGAGGAGTTTGAAAAATATTTTCAGATCAATTGTTTTGGACTCTTTGGGAAACATTCCCAAGAAGCCAAAACAGGCTTAAAGTGCTCTCCTTTCCAAGCATGCCGTGACTTTCAGTGGATGCAAAACTGGCTCCCCACCATCTTTGCATAGAGATTGGCTTTAGTACTAGGCTACACATAACATGGCGATTGCCACCAGAAGACTGAAAGTTTTAGATGAGAGGATGCAGGGACTTTCACACCATTGGCACATGAAATTTTATGAGAAGCTGAAAAGAAAAGTGAATCTTACAATGGAAGTGTTTATTTCCAAATATTTAAACTGTTTGATCAAGTTTTATCATTTACTGTGATTATGAAATATTCCAAAGTATTTTATCAATGTTTCCTTCCCATCTACTATCTGAACATCTGTCTACCACTATATTAATCTTGATGTCTAATATGGCTCCTTTTGAAAGTACAATATACTTTCTCAGTCCTCACTGAACTTAAAGAATAGAATAAGCAACTGTTCCAGTTCGATTTTGTTACCCACTTGGTATGGTATTTTCAAAGTGCTACAAAAGGCATCATTACACTGTTTGTCTTGAAATGGCTACATGGTGTGATATGCTACAAAGAACATCAATACTCATGTGGTACTATATTAACTAATGCAGATATCCTTATAGCCAGCTAATATTGGTTCATCTTTGTTGCAGGGATTTGATGATGGAAGATGTTGCCCCCTCTCCTTAGGCACATAAACAAAAATGTGATCTTGGGTAAGTTCTCTTTTCTAAGATAATACTCATTTATGTAGGGATCTATGCATTAGCACTGTGTTAAGCAACATCTACATCTAGTGTAACATTTGTACAAGCTCTGTGTTGCATTCTGTGTGAACACATCCACACAAGATCAGTATTGCCCACTGAACTATCAGAGACTTACACCCATTTCTTGGACTAAACTTTTTGCTGCACCAATTTAGATTTTTTTTTCCTTCATAAATGCAAGTCTGTTGTATTTAGCATCCCACAGTAATTTACTATTGGAATTGGAGAGGAAGCCAAAGTGAAATTAGTTGGCAGTGCATATGCATCACCTGTAGGAGATCCCATTTCAGTGACCTCATTAAAAAAATATAAAATAATATAGCTGGTGATGTGAATGAACTTTGGCAAAGATGATGAAGAGCTGCTAATACTTGGTGAAACTGCTACTAGGCCAGATGTACACTTTTTTTTTTTTTTTTCACCTGGTGGAAGGCAGCATTTCTGTGCTCCTGTGAACTACCTTTACATTGAAAAGTATTGTGTCTGATCTTATATGGAAGCTATGCACTAATCTATGAATGCTGACATGCAAATAGTATATGAATGCTGGAGTGCAAGGTTTGGCCATGCAAATAAACTTGCCCATTTTTTTTTTTTTGAATAAGTTTTATTCTTAATATACTGTACCTAACCAAAAAAACAAAAACCAAAAAAAAAAAAAAAAAACCCTAAAAAGCATCAGTCATCAAAAGCATCAGACCTATTGGGTCAGCCCCCCACCTTTTTTCTTTTTATGTTAAAGTATAAACATGTTTAAGTCTATGCATAGTCTGGTTTCTCTAGCCAATAATAAAAAGAATCCCAGGTTTGATAGAAGTCTGTATCTTCTTTTTCCCTCAGAGACAAAGTCAGTCTATCTGAACTTGCCCATTTTTGATGGGACTGAGAGTTTCTTGCCTATTAAAGCTTCCAAGAGATTCTCTAAGGTGAATCTATGTGCCATCACTCTACTATTCATCATCATCATTTTCCCATTAAAAATAACACTATATTGTGTAGCTTTGTGGAATAAAATGCCATCAATCAACTCTTTGAAATTTTATTGTAGTCTTTTAGAGATTTTGAACCTGGTACATTTACATAAAAGCTACTGATATTTTGTAAAAAAGGGGCTTCCATGTTTTCCCCTTTTCCTCAGACAAGAAAAAATCTTATTTTCAATATTTATACAAGGGCGTGAGTGCATAACTCTGCTTAAATTCTCCCTGTATGAAATGAAAAAACTCTCTATAAAGGCATCACAGTCTTTCCTGAAGTCTCAGGGCAGAGCATATAGATCCAAATCTTCCCAAAATCCATAAGGAACTTGAGAAGACACAGAATTTAGTCTAGAGATGGAAAATGAGTTGCCTGTTTTGGGATACTGAGTTCACCTGGTTTCAAATAAAACAAAATAGATCTCAAACCCTTCTGAAACTGGAGATATAAGAAAACATTTCAAGCACTGTTTTGTTCACTTGTTTTGTGAGCAATGAGCTAGCCCCTCCTTTCAGTGTATTTAGTTACACTGGCTCACAGTTAGTTACCTGGCCCATATATCACAGTGCTCAAGATTTAAATAACTCATGGATTATTATCCATGAGCAGGAGAATGGAGGGAGGCATGGTGCTTGTCATGCATCCTCCATGTCTGCTTTTAATCAACAACCTCCAAGCAGCTGCTTGCTGCTTCCTGAGCATGAGATGCACACCCAGAGCACTGAGTTGCTTAGTGGCTAACTGACCCAGATGTTAACCTTCAAAAGGTTTGATGGAGTGCATACAGATCCCAAATCTTCCAAAAATCCAATGTTAACATAACCAATCACAGAATTTAGTCCAGGGCTGGGCATGAGTGGCCAGAATTTAATTATCTTCCCAAAGTCTTTGTAAGACAAAGTTCCAGGTAGGGTACCAGATGCAGTAAAACTGTTCTGTTAGTTTAAATGTTCTTGTGTTCTTTATCATGCAGGTAGTATGGAAGAAACAAAAACAAGATGAACAATGATACTTCCATGTTCATGTTTCTGCTTCTGGAATTCTCAGATGTCCAAGAACTACAAACCTTGTACTTTTTCCTATTCCTTGCATTTTATTTAATGACAATTACAGGGAATCTTCTCATTATCATTACAATTGCCCTTGATCATCACCTACACACTCCCATGTACTTTTTCCTATTGATGTTGGCCCTGCTTGACGTTGGAACCATTTCAGTCATAGTACCCAAAGCCATGGCTATGATCCTCATGAACGGCAGATCAATTTCCTATTCTGGATGTGTAGCTCAAGTTTTCTTGTACACATTCTTTGCAACTTCAAACCTGATGCTCTTAACTATAATGGCCCATGATCGCCATGTTGCTATCTGCAAACCACTCCTATATGGAAGAATTATGCACAAAGAAGCCTGTCTTCAGATGGTTGCCACTGCATGTCTTATTAGTTTTCTCTGTGCCACCTTACACACTGGCGGCACCTTTGCCATGACCTTCTGCTCCAACATCATCCATCAGTTCTTCTGTGAAATCCCACGGTTAATTACACTCTCCTGCTCTGATATCTACCTAGTTGAAGTTGGGTTCCTTGTCCTAGGTTCTACTGTAGCACTAGGATGTTTTACCTTCATTGTTATAACATACATGCAGATCTTTGCTGCAGTGCTCAGAATCCGTTCTGTACATAGTCAGAAGAAAGCCCTCTCCACTTGTCTGCCCCACCTCACTGTTGTCTCTTTGCTCATACTGACAGCAGTCTTTGCCTATGTGAGGCCTCCCACTGGAACCTCTTCCGATCTGGATATAACTTTTGCTATAATATATGCCATAACACCTCCTTTATTGAATCCTTTTATCTATAGCCTGAGAAACAAAGAGATCAAATCTGCTTTATGGAAAATGTTGTGTTTGGGGATTTCACTTTCAAACCATGTTTAGAGCTGTTCTTCAAGAATACAAATGTATTATATTTTGCCTGCAAATGTTTGTCCCTGAAATTTTAAAACTTGTTCATGAAACTTGGCAGACTAGTTCTTTATATGCAGAAATGTATAAATTTGTTATGTTTTTAAACCACCTACTAACCCAAACTGTATATAATACATTAAAGCATAAACTACAAAACTAAAATTATTAATCAAAACATCAATCAATAACATGGCATGTTCACTCTCTTCAAGCTATTTCTATGTGGAAAAAAATGGGGGTTGGAGTGGGATTTAAAGATTTTTCTCTAGGATGAATTTTTTCAACACTTCATTCAAATTAGAACTCATGATGTACAATCACTGGAGCATGATTGCTTTGTTTGTTTTTTATGGTGGCAGTTAAGTGGAATCAACTGCAACTGAACTGGAAGTCTGGACAGCAGCTTGATTCTCCCAGAGTAGCCCATATCATGTTGTCATCATGTTGATGTTGCCAATTGCAGCACCCCTAAACACCCCAATAGTAGTTGGCCAGAGGAAGTCTCCAAAAATAGTTGGCCAGGGGAAGGCCACATAGGAAAAAGCCACAACCATATTGAATTTCCTGTCCTAGAAGGGAGCAGGGATGAGAACAAAATGAACTTCATGTAACCCACAGCTAACCAGCTACCATGACCTCGAATACAGCAATCAAAGGGACAGTGGAAACTGGTTATAGCTGCCATGAAAGTTGCAAATATGCAGGGAGTAAGAACATGGCATGCCTGTGTGAATCTTGAGCAGATAAAAAATAGACATAGGTAATGTCCAGTTCTAGATAGAAGAAAGGACTTTTTGACGCTAACAACAATGGGGGTGTGCATACACTGATGTACTGATGTGTATTAGGTGATGTAATCACTTATGTAGGGTATAAAATGCATGTACCAGAGTGCAACTTTCGAGACACTGCTTTGGGCTGCATACTCCCTTTCATCTCTCTTTATTCTATAGTGCACTAGAATAAAGCTGGTTTGGCTCTAAGTCTCATCGCATGCTCCCTTTGACTTGGGATCTGGGGTCTACCCAGGCTCACCCTAAGCTGTTGACTGGCTGAATAACACTGGGAAATTCTTTTTCTGTATGTGTTGGGAGGATGTTCTCCACATATGATCCACTTTTTAATATTTGTTTTTGTTTTTGTTTTACCCAAAAGGAAGAAAAGAAAGACTTTCTGCATGTTCTGAGCAGCAAAGCAGTTTGAAAGGTATGATTCAAGCAGTAAGAACATAGGAAAAAAGGGTAAGTTATTTTTTTGCAAGAAGCTTTTCATTCAGTTTGAAGCAATCTACAAATGTTCTGCTGTTTTAAATGATATTTTGGGGGCATGGGGAATTACAGAACTGTAAGGGACATGTAGTATGACCCTATGTATCTTTCAACATTTTGCAGCTAAGACAAAGAGCCACCACATCCAAGTGGCACAGTCCCAAAATACAAGTTCCTAAACCATTTGCTTGTCAGGCTGACTGAGGAGGCAGCCATTTGCTCAAACCACACCACAGCAGCTCTCCAGACCCTCTTGGCTTCACCTCTCCTCTTTGATGTCACTGCCAGTTGACCAGCCCTTAAGCATGTGTCCCATGATAAAACAAAAGACATGAGAAAGTGGTTTCTACTTTTCGGCATGATGGTCACTTAACTTGTCATCCAAAGAGACAACGACTCAGTCCATATCATGGCAAAACAACCCTGTGCTGCTTTTCACTGACTTTTCGTGACTTTTCATTGTTGCTTTAGCCTACCAATCAGGTGGCCACATGGTTCCTATGGCAACATGATCTCACAATTCCTGCTCTGTCTTCTCACCACACATACTGGCAGGCCTCTTGAGCAAAGTCTCCTTCCTTATTCAATTGCTTCCTGTGGACCTTACAAACCTCATCCTGATTGTTCCACTGGTGTTTTGGGGCAGGTTCAACCACTCTATCCTCTTGAGTATACTTGCATCTTTGCAACACCCCTTAGACACCCCAGCACCCAAAGGACCCAAGAGGAGACAGTAAATACATGGGCAGTGGTGTCAATGGCCATGACATCTGTCATCACCCATAGAGGAGCCATGCTGATAGCGCTGTTCCCAAGGCTGCCCCCAACATTAAAAAATTTCTGGATCTGACAATGGAATTTATGAAGAAGAAAATATGACAGAATAAATCAACCAAGTTCTCCTAGGTATGTATTTCCATGTACTCAAATGCTGCATACTGTGCTAATTATCTCTTTGATGTTTGATCCCTCACATCAGCTTTCTAAGAAACCCATTTGTAATGGACTCTTGGGAGGCAATCTCCAAGCAGAGGAACAATGTTCAAGTAGTTCTTGCATCCATCTTCAGTTCCAGTTGAAAATGAAATTAGCTGCTCACACAAAATCGAACTTTAAAAGAAGTAGAATTCATGGATACATGCAAACAAAAATTTTTTGACCAAATGAGGGACGCTATTAATAGGAAAGGTAAGAATTTGAAAAGTTGATTTAAGTATGGCGTTGGGACGAGAGAGATGTGATTAACAAACCTCCGTTATCACGCTGGTAACTATGAGGTGGTGGGCCGTGGGGGCTCAATCTAAGCCCTGTAGGGGTGAAGATAGATTGCTTGGCAAAACTCCCAGATGCTGTGGGATGGCAATTCTGCACTTACTGGGAGAAAATCAAGCTTTTCTCAGCTGGATGGTACAGGAGAGATGTTAGGTCTCTGCAAGTCCTTGGCATACTTCTTTTTTGTTTAGTCTACTTTAGCTATTAGCATCTGATTTACTGGGAATCATTTTTATTTCTTTTTTCTGCAATGATATCCATGGAAAAAGCTGCATTTCTTGCTAATTGACATAAAGAAAAAAAAAAAAAGAAAGAAAGCCCTTTCCCCCATGGAGTTGAAAGGTGGCAAATTTCATGAGAAGAGAGAGATAGAGCTCTTAGTAAGTAAGGAAACGATCTTTTTTTCTTCTTTTTAATCTCTCCAAGGGCAAAGAATTAAAATAACAAACTACTGATTAATTGAATTAGAGAAGTATCTTTCTTGTGTGTTGGACCTTTGCCAAGAAATAACGGCCATATTTGCTCTTTTGTTCCTGGGACTCTTGGACCCCTGCCAATTTATGGAAGAAATTGAAGAAATATGGGAAACATTTTCAGCAATACAGACCTCTTTAATAGCCTTGCAACTTTCCCAACAGGCAATAATAATGCAGCAGAAGAATGTTTTAATTAAGCAACTTGACTGTTTCTTGATTGAACAAAAAGCTGGCTTTGATAAGCTAGATTTTTCCATTAATCAAGCTTTGCAGAATATGCAAAATATCCAGCAAGTAGAAGAAAAGTTTGAAACTGGGAAGATAACAAGTAAATTATTATGGGATGGGCTTCTAAATAGACAACAAGCAGATGGATATTTGGAAACATCAGGAATAAATAAGCCTCTATGTGATTTGCTTGTTATGCTGGAAAAACAGAAGATAGCTCGGCTACAGTCCAAGACACATGATCTACTGCAGACACTAGGACATTCTAATATACACAAAGAAGCAACGGGTGGACACGATTTATTACATGACTTAGCACAGGCATTTTTTTTGTACGAGCAGAAAAGTTGGCACAATCTGTGGAGCTAATTAGCATGAGGTTATTGGATTTGCTTGCTATGTTGGAAAAGGAGGAAACAGTTCACGATTTAAGAGAGGCTTTGTTCATGTGGCTACATTTGAAAATTCTATTATAGATATTACGATGTTATAATGTAAAGAAAACAGAAAGGTTTGGTAGAGGTGTAAAAAAAATCAAAGGGAAGATAACTTGTTATTTCAGAAAGGGGTGATGCATAGAGGTTGGTATGCTCATATGTAACGTAGAAAAGCTAAGCTACTGTTCTTGGTGAAGCTTTAGTAATTCACTTTAAAGAAATTTCGGCAAAAAGATATTATAGGTACTAATTATCACCAAATAGATTAATCAATGGTGCTTTTAAAGATGTTAAGTGGATGTTTCTGATTTTATCTGTATTTGAAAATAAGAGAATTCATTATAGGTATTAATAATCACCAAATAGAGTTGTTAAGCCATTTTTAGAGATGATAAATGGATGCTTTTGATGTTATTTATAACTGTAGAGATTTTTCTCTTTCTTTCTTTTTGTTCTTCTTTTCATCTTAAAAAGGGATGATTTAAATAGACTGGTATGTTCGCATGAGATACAGAAAGGCTAATCTAATATGGTTGGTGAAAACTTAAAAATCTAGATTAATGAAACATTGTTAAAGGGATATCCCTGACTATATCTGTAATTGAAAATAGGAGAACTTACTATTTAAAAAAAATATGAATGACTTACATGGGTAAGCCTATATGTGATACTGTATGGAGTTAACTATATTTGATTAAATGGAGTTTAAGTTAGATGAAACATTAGTAAGTGAGTTTAAAGAAAATTGGCTTAAAGTTATTACCAAGCAGAGTAGTTAGGATGCCCTTTGAGATGTCAATTAGATCTTTTTGAATTTACTAGTAATCGTGGTAGTGAGGAAGTTATTTGATAGATTTTGAATTGTTCAGAAATGTTTAGATGAAACCTATCACTGAAGAAGAAAGAAGATGTTGTAATTTCACCCAACTTGGAGCAGCTTCCCTTAAATAATGGTCAAGAGAAACAGGACTTTCTAAGAAAAGATGGGATTGATTTCACCAATAAAGAAGAAGAAAGAAGGAAGATAGTGACTTCTATCAAATTTGGAATTACTTTTTTATTTGGCTGGAGAAACGGGACTTGGTTTTGATCTAAAGATGTTTTCACGTTATTATAAAAGGATTTTAGTATGATGATAGAATGTTAAAAGATACGTTGTAGGGGGCTGACCCAGTAAATCTGATGCGTGTGATGATTGATATGTGTAGTTTTAGTTTAAAATCTTAATTAAAAAAATTCAAAAAAAAAAGAACATAATTTGAAAAGTTAATGGTTCCTGCAGCACTTTTTAAAATACCTGTTCACTCTATGTTAAACTATTTTTCTCAGTGGATGGTCCTTTGCCAGCTATTCAAACTAAGAATCAAGGGATATCTTATTCAAATGATAACATATGGTTACACTAATTTACAAGGAGGGGCAACATAATTTCACTAGCTTTCAGTTACTTCAATGTAGCGTTTTGGATCAACATATTTGCATAAAATATGATACAGTCAGTACTAGATCAAATTGATGTATATGGGTATACTAAGCCTGATATAAAATATATCATCTCTGTTACAATCAGCAATGTTTACTAGAGAATTGACATTTCCTTGTGTATAAAATAAGTCAATACATCTGAAGGCAAACTGAGGAATAGGAACTGATGCCTCAAGATGCACAAACACACAGAGAGAGCCTGTGATGAAAAGATGTGGAGGAAGATGTAGCATTGCCTACAGTTCACCAAGATGCTGCTTGTTTGGTTTCATTTGTTGAAAGTACTGAATGCATTTGAAGGAATACATAGTATAGGGAAGAGACTGTCAGTATTTTACAGTGCTTTAAAGAAAATCCCTTAAGCCTTGTTACTGAGAATCAGTTCAGGATTCATAATGGGAGAGGGCTTAGTAAAATAAATTTCACTAATGTCCAGTTCCTGCTGTAGTGATTTTTTGAAGAGGTAAATGAATTGTTGGACCTTGCTTCTGCATAGTCTTTACCCATTGACTGGTGGATCCAGTCATAATAATTTATTGAGAGTGTCTCATGAACTCACATTTCCTTTTTTATTTGCTGCTTTCCACGTTTGCTTCACTTCATACACTCTGTTGCAAGGCATTGTGGACCTGAATCACCAAATTAAATTAATAATTTGATGTGAAACTTGATGGGGCAATTAAATTAAATCACTCTGATGGATCTGCATTAAATTAATCAAGATAAAAGGCATGCTGAATAAACTAATTGTATCTGCAGTGATGTAAACACCAATGTGGAAAGAGGTCCGTTGAGCTCACTCAAAATTCCTATCTGGTCAATAGACACTGGATCAGACTCCTCAAAGGATTAATGGAGTGAGTTTTTGGCATTTAGAGTTGAGACTCTTATTGTTCCATTGGTCTGTCCTGGTGACAGAATTCTACAGGTGGTTCAGAGGTGGCTGTCTTCCACTCACAACCTTCCTCTACTTCCCACTTCTTTTCTTAGGGCAAAAAACCCCTTAAATGGGAAAGGATAGACCAGCTGAACAGTATCTTTTGACTCAAACTGGGAAACCACCCATCCAGAAGCACATTGTCTTTATGAGGAGTATTCTCACAAAATTTCAGTCTCCAGGGTACTGACCTGAAGACATCCCTAAGGATTGCAAAACAAACATAGCCATAACTCTAAACAGACATGAGAGCCCAACACATGCTAAGCATTTTCATTTGAATGCAGGTTAGAAAAAAATGGGGGGAAATGGTGGTGGTTATAATAGATTGAATAGATTATCACAGAAAGGCTAGTATCCTGAACAGGAGTACTCGTACTCCTACTCATAACCTGCTCATATGGTTTAAAGTAGAGTGACTTCTTCTTCTTCCTTATACAGGAGATAATATATCAAAGATAAAGATGTCCAGTTTTACCTTGAAGTCTAATTTTCTGCTGTTGGAATTCTCTGAGATCCGGGAACTGCAAATCTTATACTTCATTGTATTCCTAGTATTGTACATCACCACAATAACTGGGAGTCTGCTCTTCATTGCTGCTGTAGTGCTTGACTGTCACCTGCACACACCCATGTACTTTTTCCTCATGAACTTGGCCATGATGGACCTTGGCTCCATTTCAGTCACTGTACCAAAATCTATGGCAAATTCCCTTATGGAAAGCAGGTTAAGTTCTTGTTTTGGATGTGTTGCCCAAGTCTCTTTTTATTTGTACTTTGAAACATCTGATTTTGTCCTTCTCACAATAATGGCGCACGACCGGTATGTCGCCATCTGCAATCCACTTCGCTATGAAGCCATTACGAACAGAACAGCTTGCATTCAGATGGCATTTAGTGCATGGCTTAGTGGTCTACTCTATGCTGCAGTTCATACTTGTAGCATGTTTTCCATCACTTTCTGCTCTATCATTGTCAATCAATTCTTTTGTGAAATCCCAACATTGTTGAAGCTCACCTGCTCAGACTTGTACCTAGTTGAAGTTGGGCTTCTTGTGCTTAGTTGTTGCATGGCATTAGGCTGTTTCATCTTTATCATTGTAACCTATGTGCAGATCTTTGGGATCCAAAAAGCCCTCTCCACTTGCCTTCCTCGTCTCACTGTTGTTTCTGTCTTTGTGTTCACTGGGGCTTTGCTTATATGAGGCCTCCAACAATCGCTTCATCTGACCAGGACCTGGCTTGTGCTATTATATATACTATAGTTCCATCCATGATGAATCTGGTGGTCTATAGTATGAGGAATAAGAAGCTTAGGGATGCCTTGTGGATGTTTTTAAGGTATTTAAATGCCACTTCCAGAATCGTTCTATGAAGATACTGTAGCTCAACATTGGTATATGCTACATGGTATGGAGTCTTGAGAAGACTGGAGAAATAGCTCCACTACTCTCTTCGGTGCTGCAAAACAGTGCCATTATACAACAGTGCCATGATGGTGGCACCTGGCTGCCACCATATTCACACTCAGTGTGTTTGCAATGATGCTATGACTTTGGAATGTAGCCATGTCACAATGAAGCATTGTTTCAGAGTCACAGTGAGGGAACATAGCAACTCAACCTACTCCTAGTACCATCACATGGCACAGTAAGCCCTCCTCTGCCTCTAGTATCCTTTCTCAATTTCTGCTCCCTCCCACTCAGGAGCATCAATAAAACTTTTGTCCCATTTTCACAGCTGGAGAATGTGGCTGCTAACATGGGTCAGCACTTTTGACTCAGGTGTAGCTAGTAAAGTGATGATTTGGGGGGAAATGCAGCTACATGGGAATATGCTGATTTAACTTTTTTATTGTATCAATTTTAAGCTTTACACTTCTTTGGTTGCCTTTGAGGTACCAGTGGACAATTTTATCAATCAGTCTTTCACCTAATCATATATGGCATCTTTCAAGCTGTTCATTTCAACTGAATTTCTAGTGTATCACATACCAGTCTCTTTCTACTGGTATCTTGGGATACTTCTGGAATCAGTTGCTGCAGAGCTTGGGCAGGTGGCACTCTTACACCCATCTTGCTTGAGTGATCCTGTAGACAGGTGGTTTGCAATCATGTGAATGAAATGCTGGATGGATGGACTATTGGTCTGATCCAGCATGTCTTTTCATGTTCTTATGTTCTTAATATACTGTATATGTGTCTATAGAGGAAGGGAGGGGCATGGTAAACTGTGTGTTCAGTGGACCCTACTGGAATATGGCTGTATGTAAATAGACAGCTTCTGACCAATGACTTGAACTCTTGGAATAATTGATGCACGCATAGAAATGACTGCACAGAGCCCCCTGCTTTCATAGTTTCTACTGAATTTGCAAGGATTGGGAAGAGGGATGGTGACGCAGTTCCACTTCTCCCTCTATGCACTGGCCTTAAGAGACAAAAAACAATTTTCAAGTTGCTGGTCTAATAGTTATTTAACAACAAAATATGTGCTACTGTAATAGAGGGATCCTGTTTGTATTAAATGGTTAGCCAGTATTAGTAGATTAAACATCTCTCTTCTTTCTCCCACAGGTAGTACAAAAGTAATGAAGACAAAATGAACAACCAGAATTCCACATCTATATTCCTGTTGCTTGAATTCTCAAATGTCTGAGAACTACAGGTTTTATAATTGTTGGTTAAACTTTCATTAAACCTGACAGCAAATATAGGGAATCTTCTCATTTTCATTTCAGGTTTCCTACACATGCTCACATACTTCTACCTAATAAATCATGACTTGACTGAAAATAACAGTTTAGGAATTTTTAAAAAGGTATTTTGATATTTTCCTCACACCCTCTTGGATATCCTTATTCCGGAAGCTGTAAATGATGGGATTCAGTAGTGGAGGCAGAACTGTGTACAAAACTGCAGAGAGCAAGTCCACAGTTTTAGAGGAAAGTGACTTAGGCCTCATGTATGAAAACACAGCTGTGCTGATAAAAAGAGAAAAGACAGCCAAATGAGGAATGCAGGTAGACAGAGCTTTGTATCTGCTTTGAACAAATGGAACCTTCAGCACAGCAGAGAAAATGTTGGTGTAAGAAACAAAGATGAATCCAGTACAAAATAAATCCACAATGATCACAGTGATAAAAACCACAATCTGACTAAGTTTTGTATCTGTGCAAGAAATCTTTTGCAGCTGAGGGATATCACAGAAATACTGACCAATCATGTTGGACTCACAGAAAGTTAAACTGAAAGTGATACCTGCATGCAATGATGCATGCAGCAAGTTGCTCAGCCAGGATGCTGCTGCCATTTGGATGCACACCTCTATGTTCATGATTAGGAAATATTGCAGAGGGTGGCAGATGGCCACATATCGGTCATAAGCCATGATAGTGAGCAAGGCAAGCTCCGAACCTGCACAAACCACAACTGAGAAAACCTGGGCAACACATCCAGTAAAAGAAATCTGTTTGTTGTTTGTCAAATAAGTGGATATGGATTTAGGTACAGTTGTTGATATGTAGCAAATGTCTGCCACAGATAAGTTGACCAAAAAGAAATACATAGGGGTGTGAAGGTGATGATTGAAGCTCACAACAATTATTATGAGGAAATTTCCTATTAGGGCTATTAAGTAAATGAAGAGAAATATCACAAAATGCAAAAATTGTGTGTCATGGTCATTGGAGAATCCCATCAGAAGGAAATCTGTCACACTGGATCGGTTGGCCAAATATTTCATTTCTTGAAATCAACCTGTAGAAAAAAGACAATGATGGTTAAATCATAGACTAAAAATGCATTGTGGAAATCTTATAGATGTCAACTTAATGTCAGAACAGAAATAGGTATTTAGTAAAGTCTGTGACCCATTTCAGGTAATGCCATGTCTATGGTTTTCCCACTAAAAGAAGAGAAGGAATTGAAGTGATAAGAAAGACCGGAAATGGGGAAGGCAGCACTTTTCCCAAGCAATGGCAGAAAAAATTATTATTATTATTATTATTATTATTATTATTATTATTATTATTACTACTATTATTACTATTATTACTATTATTACATTTCTATGCCGCCCCTTGCCGAAGCCTTGGGGCGGCTTACAACACAGTAAAATACATTGAAATACAATAGAACATAATAAATTACCACTAAATACAAAAATACACAGAGATACAAACATAATAATATAAAATTAAAATTAATAGTATAAAATAAGTAAATAAAGAATATAGGAGGAGAAAAGAGAAGGAAGAAGAAGTTGCCCTGGCCAGATCATATATTTTAACAATTAAAATGATGTTTAAATAAAAAGGTCTTTGCCTGGCGCCGAAAAACCAGTAACGACGGTGCCAGGCGGACCTCTTTGGGGAAAAATGCAACTGATAAGAAGGGACGGGAATCAAAATCTGGAAGGAGATAGTCAAGGCTATTAGAGGGCAAAGTGCTTTTTGTCATGAGACCAAAAAGAAAGACAAAATGGGGGCGGGCACCGAAAAATGTTAAGACTAAACATCTGAAGCAGCAGGGAGGAGACAATCAGACAGAGGGACAAATGGGTTCTCTTAACAGATAAAGCATCTAGTATTGGAAGAACCAAGGATGTACACTTTACATTCAAGCTATTGGAAGCTAGGTTTTCCCATTTGCACATTTAAAGCCACAGACTGTTCCTTTGCAAAAGTTATTTATCGTCTGAAGTGCATCCAGTAGTGCAATAATTACAGAATCAGTCTCTGAGCATGCACAGCATGGTTTGTCAAACCCAATCTGGCAGCTACTTCCAAGAACCTTCTTTTTGAGTACCCCTTGGTCCCATTCCTCTGGAAGGGCCCTTTCAGAGATGGACAAGCATCTTCTCTGTCCAGTGCCTATTTTCTATCTAGTTGGCTAGCCCTTCTCTCCTGATGATGTGTCATGGGATCAAGAGTAGTATCAGGCCTGGTTGGGTTCTGGAGCTCCTGTCCCACACCCCCTCCCAGTTGTAGATCCTAACTATTTTCAGAGCCTTGAGATAAGTTTCTCCCCTTCTCCCATCTCCCACATCAATATTCAGAGGTGCCAGTTCCCAAGTCCCCTCTTCCTCCTCATCTGTCCAGTCTAGGTCTGACTGTTCCTAGAACACATACCAAAAACTCCCTTCCCTTTCAGTCCCAGTAGAGAGTCTACTTGCATACAGCCACGCACAAGTGGGGTTCGTTGTCATTCATTCCATCCAGTATACATTTCATCTCCTCCTCCAACATACATGTATGGTATCTAATGACCTAACATATTGAACTGAAAAGATGCACTGTTGCAATTCAGTAGATTTTCTGTCCCCTGCTTTGATTGAAAGCATAATGAGCATACAAAGAGCGGGGGGGGGGGGAGTCATAGAAGACAGAAATAATGGGAAAAACAAAAAGGGAAATTGAGAGGAGACAGTTGAGAGAAAGTACATTAATCAGAGGCACACAAATTCAGGGCAAAGTACTCACTGGCATCTGAAGAAAGAAAAGATATAGGTCTGAAGTAAGAAGACATGAAGGGATAAAATGTTTTCTTTACATTGTGCTCCCTCTCTGCAATTCCTATTGCATAGAGTCATATATTCTCTTAAAATCCATTTTTGAGAACAGTCCAAGATATCAGGAATTGCATTTTTTTAAAAAAATTCTCTATAGATAGAAGAAATAGTCCTATGCACACTTGCTTTGGAGCAAGTCTATAGAAATCACTTGTGAGAGATGGTTGGAGGTAAAAAGTTCTCTTTGCTCATTCCAGTATCAATCAACGAGGTCTGAGCCTCTTGATGAATGTGCAGACTAAACAGAATTTAGCTATATACACAATTGAACATGTTACAAAGCAGGCATTGCCCTGCTTGTTTTGTTTTTTTTACAGCACAGTTAGAAATAATTTGCCTCTAAGTTTGTAAAGTGTCTAAAGAAAACATTGCAAAATGAGCACTCTCTGGTGCCTGAATTGGACACCTTGTTCCCCCACATCATTCACAGAATGTTGGCATTTAAAAGATTGTGTGTGCAGTATGTGTGTTGTGCTGAAGAGCTGATCAATGGAGGCATTTCCTAAGCAAAAATGATTTGGGTCTACAGGATTCCATGCACTGGATATTGGCACTCAGTGCATTGGGTGCTGAGAAACACATGGCCAAGGAACATTTAAGCATAGTGTGAGCTAACAAGGAACTCTGCATGTACAAAAACTTGCTGTCTTCTCAGCATCCCATTTGAAGTGGATGTGGGAAAAGTAGAGATGAAATGCTGGCTTTTAGGGAGGGAAAGGCTAGCATTTCCATACAGTGTGTGACTGCAAGGCAGGGCATTTAGTGGATGTCCTAATTCAGTAAACGCTGGGTTTTGCATTTCTTTCTGAGCAAATTTAAAGCCTCCAAGCTAGCAGCAGCATCACTAAGAAAACTGTGCTGGCTCCATCTTTTAGACATTTCTCATGCCCAAGTTGCTCCATGCAGTGAAGTGCTTACTTACATTCTGGTAACTGCCCAAAGCCCCATCATACAACTGGATGGATGGGTGGATGGATGGATGGATGGATGGATGGATGGATGGAGCTTGCCACCACATAGCATATGAAAAGGTGCCAACAGAGCCTTGATAATAATCAAAGCAATGATGCTCAGCTCCAGATACAACCTCTTCTCTATCATTCATCATCATCATCATCTCACCCCTATAAAGATCAACTTCACTAGCAGTTAGACATGAGGAATATTTTTATTCAGCTGTACTACACACATAATATATACATTTGAAAAATCATTTTAGAGCACTGTGTATCTTACAATCTTCTCTGTGACTTCATTCATCAACTTTCTTGTACCTTTTTTGAAAGGGACCGGTTGCTCTGGCAATAGGTAGCTGTCATGGGCTGACACAATTTATACATGATGTCTTCCTGGTGACACATTCTCAAGAGGTCAACATAACAAAGCAGCAAAGGTGTACAGAAACTCATTAACTCCTTGTGCTATCACATTTAGCATCGCATGGTTGGAGTGTTGCTGGTTTAGAATAATAGAGCAGTCGTGTTATAACAAAACTTAACATGCTGCATGATAGCACAGATCAACACGTTCTTCCTTTTCAAAACTAAGCAGAGAATGATTCTGTGGCTTGGCCTTCTGTATGGAATAGACATTGTATAGAGACAGTGGAGCACTTTGAAGAAAATTACTGTTATTATTTTAAGGTCAGGATGTTGCATGTTCCTTTGTTGAGACTCATTTTTTACAATAACTGCTCTGGATGCTTTGATCATATTATAAAACATGGCTATCAAATAAAATCCTGCCAGTTTATCATGAAGGTGGAAAATGAGTAAATCATTTTCCTTTTAATGGCAACTGCACTGCATTCTTTTCTTAATTTAGCAGGATCTTTCTATAGCTTTTCTTTAATATATAGCTGTTGGAAAAAGATAGGGTTTCCTCTTGGAAAAATGATGATCTCCACAAAATAGCAGAAAATTGATTGAAGAGAATTTTGAGCTGAGTTGATGAAAGTGCAGATGAGATGATCACTCTAAGATCAGGACAGATGCACAACCATTTGACACTCAGGGACATTCTGGGTGCTTTCTGTGGATACTCTGTCACACACTATAATATTTTATTTATTTATTTTAAAAAAAATATGCCTCCACCATCGCAACTAAGCCTCAGGGCGGCTCACAACAGAATAGGGAGATCAAACCTTCTCTTTTCTTCTATGATTCTCTGACCCCCATGCTGCCCCCCTAGGATCATCACCAAAATTTCAAAGTAGGATAGCAGTGGGGTTGGAATATATTTTCATTTCTCCCATTCCACAGTGGTGCCTGGTAAGATTTCTGCCCCTTTGCTTCTAATGGCAGTATGGGATCTCTCTCTCTCTCTCTCTCTCTCTCTCTCTCTCTCTCTCTCTCTCTCGGTCTCCTGTCCCCAACATTTCAGATGTGGATCTGAAAATCTATATGGGATCCCAACAGCTTTGCAAAATGCACAGTGACCAGCTGGAACCTGCTAAAACCCCACATTGTAAACCATTGCTCAAAGGAAAGTGTACCCTTTTCTAAGGATAAGAAAACACTCCCCAGTGTCTGATTGGTAAATATCTTTGAAGAAAGGGAAGGCCCTGAGCTTCAATATAACAGATTGTACAACGAGAAATGTGCTAATGTGATCTTAATGGCTTTCCTAAATTGCTACAGTTGCAATAAAGCCTTTTTCTGAATGTATGCATTAAAGACAATTAAACCGGGTCAACATATTTATTGTGAGATCAGTTTAAATGACTCAGGTCCAGATTTCTTAGATATATTGGGATGGTTCTTAAATATAAGAAAAGTTCCTCAAATGCAGGAGTTTTGACAGAGCAGTCTTGAACTCCTTGTTCCTCATGCTGTAAATCATTGGATTCAGCAAGGGTGGAATCATGGTGTAGATTACAGCAAAGGTCAAGTCCACATGTGATGTGGTAGTGCAGATGGTGCTTATATAGGAAAACCAACCACTGAACACAAATATAGAGAAAACAATGAGATGGGGAAGGCAAGTTGAGAAGGCTTTTTGCCTTCCCTGCCCAGAGGGCATCCTTAACACTGTGGTGAAAATCTGCACATAAGACACAATAATGAATATAAAGCAGCCTAATGCAATGACACCACTCATTAGAACAACCCCAATTTCAATGAGATTTACCTCCCAGCAGGAGAGTTTAAGTAACTGAGGGATTTCACAGAAAAATTGGTTGACAGCACTGGAACAGAAAGGTGTGGCAAAGGTTCCACTAGTGTGTAATATTCCAAAGACAAGCCCACTAATCCATACACTAGCAATCATCTCCATGCAGGCTCGCCTGTTCATCAGAATCTCATAGTGTAACGGCTTGCAAATGGCAATATAGCGATCATAGGCCATGACAGTGAGAAGGAAGAAATCAGATGATAAAAAGAAAAATAACAGGAGAACTTGGGCAACACATCCAGAATAAGAAATGTATCTGGTGTTCATGAGGGAATTGGACATGGATTTGGGGAGTATGACTGTCACTTGGCCAAGATCTTGCATGGCCAAGTTCATCAGAAAGAAGTACATAGGGGAGTTTAGATGGTGGTCGAAGGCTACTGCAGCGATGATGAGAAGATTTCCTGATACAGCCACCAAATACAAAACCAGGAACATTAGAAAATGCAGAATCTGAAGTTTGTGAACATCTGAGAATGACAGGAGCAGAAACTCAGAAAAGGAGGCATTGTTGGACATCTTGTAGTCAATAGTCGGTTCTATAGCATCTGTAGGAGGAAACACAAAGAAAACTGTGTGCCAGGGGGACATTTTGGCTTGTTTATTAAAAGTTAGCCTGCCTTTGCAAGTTTGTTCACTGACCTAAAGTTAAGTTTCTGTTCTTCATTTTTAGAATGCGTTTAAGGATGCACAGAGATCTGCTTTAAGTAATTTTTGAAAATCCACACAAACCCCTCTCCATGCTACTTAGAGCAAGGGCCTCTTTCTCTTTTTTCTCATCCACATATGTGCAAAAGAATGGCATGCTATACCAACACATGAATTGACTCAAAGGTCAGCATGTGGCTTATGGACCTTTTCAATGTGATGCTAGAACATATGGACTTGGGTTCAATTCAGATATTTTACTTGGACATTCAGATTAACTTCTTGGCAGTAAGAAATTATGGAACAAAAATAAAAATTCAAATGGGTCCAATTTAGAGCAGAGACCCAAGAAAGCCAGGGTTATTTTTGTTCAGATTTGGTGGTAATGTTCTAAAGCAAAGAATATTGTTTGAAGATGGTCCATGATATTACATATTTTACTGGCTTGGGATACAACTAACTCCCAAAATAATGCTGTCTTCATCATCCATAGTTCAGCCTTCAAAACTTTTGAAGTGTTTAAATGATAACTTAATTCTCATATATAACTTAATTTGGAACTATCAGTAACAAGATACAATTAAATTCCAAAACACTGAGTTAGGATGGCCAGTTCTTCCAAGAGTAGTTTGTTAAATTTTCATAGCAAAAAATCATTTGATTCATTAGTGTAGCAATTTGCAGTTATTATTTTTTTAATGGAGAATAAGTAATGGGGTTTTGTTTTCTACGTATATTTCCCAACTGTACAAATTTTTGCACACATTATTCAAAATGTGTACATAGGATAAAATGTGGCACATAGATTCCCAAATGCAAATTCACAAATTGTTGTATGCATTTTCAAAACTGATGTAACTTAAAGGCAATATTCCAAGAAAGTGCAAATTTCTGGTGCTCTGTTCAGGTCTTTGGATTTGGGGTTGGAGTTGGAGGTACAAATTAGAAACATAGAAACAGAGTGAGTCAGAAGGGACCTCCCGGGTCATCTAGCCTGACCTCCGGCAACAGCCAGCTCCGCTCACGACATGCTCACCATGTGGACGTCCAGCCTATCCTTGAACACCCGCACCGATGGGGCCTCAACGACCTCTTAAATTGCTTAATTCAGCATCAATATGCAGGTACAGCAAAATTTCACCCCTTCCTAAATGCTTTGGAAGCAAGTGGGTTAGTTAGAAAGAAATATATACCACCAGTTGTATGTTGATGGTATCTTGAATGTAGTTGACCAAGTTGTAGTTGGCCTTTTGCCAATGGGAACTTTTGGCAATGGAAACATTTCCCCAAATTCCATGTCAATATGGCGGGGGGGGGTAACTTTTTAAATTTAGAACATGACTGTAGAGTGGCAAGATAAGCCCCTCTTCACCATGTACCTAGTTTAAATTAAGATATCACTTTCTTCTCCCAGTACACACAACATGTAGGCTAGCTCTAAGGTAACATAAAAACTTTTTGTATGTATGTGCCCACAAACAGTTAAATGTTTCTAATGTTGGAACTTAAGCCCAGGGCCCCAAAACATGAGGGGTGGAATCATGACCGAGAAGTAGCAGTACAGAAGCAAACTCAATTTTATCTCCTTACCCACTGTGGTGCTGTTATTTAACACATTGTAAAACCAAAAATTCCACATGCAGAGAGTATACTCCCCACGCCTTAAAAATAGTTTAAGTAAACAGTTTTGTTGTTGTCATAACATGACAGAAATGTAGGAGTGATTTGAAGCATGGAGTGGCGGGGAGAAAGGAAACGTCACTTGTGTGCTTAATGATTGAATACACCGAACCA